CATTACTTTTCCGACAAGTTAAAGCACGGTCATGTGAAAAGAGGCGGAGTGGCTGGGTGACTTCTGAGCACCAATATGTGAGGGCCAGGACATGTGATTCTGTCTCTGGCCCTGTGTCAGTATTGACAGGTAGAAACGAGGTGATTGCATTTCCCTCAGCCTGGGTCTTCGTGTGGCCACAATGAGCACAGTCCTGCTACTGGCCCTTGTGACTATTTGAATCATGTGGCCTTTATTTAGTCTAAACACCAGGTAGCAGAGCCCTGGCGGCTTACGCGTTGGGCTGCGAACTATAAGTTCAGCAGTTGGAAAACATCAGCTGCTCTATGGGAGAAAGATGGAAGGTGGGTGCACAAGGAGCTGCGCTCTCGTGGTTGGGTGCTCTCATCAGTTCAGACTCACAACAACCCTGATACCACATGGGACGCGGAACTCATCCAATCCAAGCAGTGATGTTCTCCAGAACTTCAAAAGGGAAATCTACACGGGAGATTCCCAAACACCAAAACTACAAAGGGTATGAACCGTGCTTTGCCACCCCACATCTGCGAAAAGGGGCTGATGCCATTCAATACCCGTGACATTGATGCCTGCTACTGCTTTCGCAAGGAGCCCTGGGGGGTACTGGGCCATGTGCTGGATGGCTAACCACGAGGTCTGCAATTCGAAACCACCAGCCACTACTTGGGAAAAAGATGGGGCTTTCTGCTCCCGTAAAGTTACACTTTCCCCAAAGCAAGCTAGATAATAATAATAATAATAATAATAATAATAATGACAGCAGTTACGGATACCTCCAGTCTTCAAAGCTGAACGACGACTAAGGAAAACCAGAGAATAAATGCCTTTGAATGATGGGGCTGGGAAAGAATATGGACTATAGCAGGCTGCCGGGAAAATAAACACATCTATCTTGGAGGATGTACAGACAAAATGCTCCTTAGAAGTGGGATGGCGAGACTTTGTCTCACGTACTTTGAATATGTTATCGGGAAGGCCCGGGCCTTGGAGCAGGGCATCAAGCTTGGCGGATGACTGGCGAAAAGGATTATGTGCAAGGAGATGGACTGACCCAGTGGCTGCAACAATGGGTTCATATACTGGTGTGGCCAGGCAGTATTTTGTTCTGGAGAACCAAGCCGGTCAGCAGCAGCACTGCTGTGTCCCGGTACCAGCAAGCAGCAGTGAGTGGAACAAATGTTGTTAGGCGTGGGATGTCTGAACCCCAGACAGGTCAGGCCTAACCCTGCCTCTTTTAGGCGAGTCTAGCTCCATACTGGTCAAGGGCTACCTTAGCAAAGGACTCCGCAGGCGCACTGCTCAGCACCAAGCAACTCAAACCACCACCACCGAGTCGATTCCTAACAACCCTCTGTGGGACCAAGCTGAACGGCATTTCTAGGATTTCCAACACTATAGACCTTTATGGGTGCACACAGTCTCATGTTTCTCCCTTGGAGCGACTGGTAGATTTGAACTGCCGACTTTGTGATTAGCAGCACGATGCCTGATGTTTGGTGACAGTAGACTTCTGCTGAACACAAAACCAAACCCAAAGTATGCTCATCTTTACCTATATACCAAACCAATTCACTACCACCGAGCTGATTCTTACAGTGCCTCTATGGGGCAAGACAGAACTGCCCCTGCGGGCTTCCAAGACTGGAACTTTTTATGGCAGTGCAAGTCCTTATCTTCTTTCTGAGGAGCCGTCGGTGGTTCTGAACTGCCGACCTTCCAGCTAGCAGTCCAGCATGTAAGCACTATGCCAGCAAGGCTCCTCTCAGCGGAGCACGGGGCTTCCTAAAATAAGGTCAGGGGCAAGACAGCCACAGTCTGCCTTCCTCCCACCAACACTTTCTTTGTGGTCCAAGGAAAACGGTCAAGGCAGTTTTGCAGCAGAGACAAGTCTTGGCTGAGGTGCGGGCTGGGATTAGCCTCTGAATAAAAGAGCCAGCCAATCCTGTTGAGGTCAATTGCTCTCAGCACAAAGGTCAGTGTGAGGCTGGGTGTGTCTGTCCCCAGCAGGGGAGCACAGAGTGGACTTCTGGCCTGGAATGCTGTACAGAGGTCACCAGAGTCAGTGTGCTCATGAGACAATTTTCTCCCCTAGAGGTGGTTTCTATGCTTACAACGTTGATGATGCTTGTTCCAGGGTGATAAACCTGACATGCCCAGTCACTGCTTCAGTGACTTTGGATGTTAAGGAAACCCCTTCAACATTCGTTATCAGTTGTCACCTAATTACACACTGCCAGCAAGCAGTCCGTATTGCCTTGAACAGCAAGCTTGACGATGTCGAGCGTCCCTCAGGAACATCCCCTTCACTGGATGCTGAGAACATGGCAATCAGCACTCTGGCCATCTGTATCTGTACTTGTCAACAGCTGTTTGGGGATAAACAGTTTTGAAGAATCGATTCAACTTGGTGGAAGATTAGCCGTCGAACCACTCCAAAAGACCAAAACAGAACATGAAGTCAGATGGTCTGAAATTTAGGCACAATTTCCTGAATCTTGTTCAACATTGTGCTTTGGCGCAGCAGCCGGGGTCTAGGGACAGAGACAGGGAAAATGTATTTACTCAGGTGAGAAATCCTTCAACCCAGAACAAATGTCTTTGCTACAATGCAATTGGAAATCACTTACTGACCTCCAGGAGACGACAACTAAGAAAAAAGTCATTTGAGCGTTTAGTTTCACGGTTGTGGAACAAGAAGGTATACACAGCGCACAGCTTGCGCGGTACAAGTGCATAATGCAGCCCTTTAGTACCCTAAAACTGGGCTTGATTGACAGCGGTACCCTGGTTGTGAGGAACTCCTCTAGCGTGCGGCCGTTACGAGCGAGACGGCAAGGGGGAAATAAGGTGAGGTCAGGAAGTTAGCCACAACAGGATGCTACTGACCGCAAAGATGATGGCACTGGGGCTGGTGAGAAGGGACACATAACGTGGCAACCCCACACATGGCACCAAACAAAATGAGGACCGGCACACTCCCCTCGGAAGGGCAGCCGTGTTCGCTTTGAAACAAGTCATTTATGAGAGACCAAATTGGTGATTTGTACTTAGACGGGCCCCTTTCAAGCCCGTCAAAAAGTGATGAATTATTGAAGCATAGCATGAAGTGCTTTCCTTGCAGTGTGCAGAGCAGTCTTCTGGAATGTTTCTGTTCAACTTTCCCGAGTTATTAAAAAATCGTTATTTCCAATTACTCTGATGTTTAAAATAAAAAGGCACAATGCCACAGGTTCCGCTCCACATCCAGATCCACCCTTACACCCAGGCAATTGTTGAAAATCCCGCCCTGGGCTCCGGAAGCAGGAATTATTTGGATTTGAGAGCTGGGTGGGACGCAGAGGAAAGCTAACACCCCCAGACAACTGTCTGGTGTTCATTCAACCTTGGGGTCCAGATAGGTTTGTTGTTCTCAGAGTGAAAGCGTTCAGAGAATGAATGAGGGTTGTGGAGAGCTCATTAATAAATTAATAAGTGGAGAAAATCCTCTCAGCCAGTGTCTTAGAACCCAGAGGTAAGGCCTCCTGCCAAGGACCCTGAATGCTTGGCGCTCTGCTCCTGGACAACGTCACACTCACACACAGCTGTGATTTTAGAGACCAACCTGACTAAAGCTACTCCATAAACAAGAATTAGTTATTTCCCTGTCAGAGCTTAGCAAACGCAACCTGAATCAGTTTACAGTCTGCGATGTGCCATCAGTCTGATTTAACTCACAAGAGACCCCACGAACGAGAGCAAAATGCTACCTGGTCCCACCCCGGCCACTGCATCAATCCACCTTGCCGGAGGGCTTCCTCTTTTTGGCTGCCCTTCTACTTTACCAAGCCTGACGTAACATATCCGAAGCACAAACTCGAGACTCTGCCCGAATGACCGCCACACAGGTGTACCGGAATGGCTCCTCACTTCCTGTGCCTCACACAGAATAACTTTGATAGCAATGCTTTCAGGAAGCAAGAAAATATGAACTCTCTCTCTGTAAAGGAGCTAGGTCTGACTTCAGTGGGTTTCCACTGACTTCTTTTCTTCTGGTTACATATCTTTCTTTATCTACATAACCTACTCATGGCAGCCCCATGCGTCAGTAGAACTGTATTTTTAAAAAAATGTTTTACTGTGAAATAGGAGGAGGTTCACATTTCAGACCATCAACTTTGTATCCACAACAATTTAAACTAACCATCAACCCCATAATAGTCTATGCTTCTTCCCTCCTTGCTTTCTTAGGGCTTCTGTCTTCCGACACCCAAGGTTAACAGTCAAGCCCCTTGCTTCATCTCCTCCCTTCCCTTCATTGGTAGTCTCCAAAGCCTGTCATTAAAAGATTTACCCTGATTCTTCTTTCCTTTATAACAAAGGTGTCATATTTGTCCCTTTGTGGCGGTGACGCGTGGCGGTGACGCATGTCGCTGTGCACTGTGTTCCCCAGAAGCGCCCGTCTTGAGTCCTTCAGGGCACGATTGGAAGGAGCACTGGGGACAGGTGGTTGCGCAGTTGGCCGCTACCCTAACAGCCAGTGGTCTGAACCACTCTTCCCACCACAAGGAGACAGAAACCCTATGGAGCAGTTCTCTTCTGCCCCAGGGGGCTGTGAGCTGGGTGGCAGGCATCTTTATCATCTCTCCCCCAGCTCAGGGCAGACTGCCAGCCTTGTTGTGGCACTGTACTTGTAGATCCCCAATTCCATTTTCAAGCGAGGTGACCGGGTCAGCTGCAGAACTTCTGACCGCATGGGCCCTTCGCATACCCTCGGACAGAGGCTGGGTGTCTTTATTTCACCCAGGTGTTCTGCATGGTGACCGGAAGGACACCTCTAAAAGGTTTTATGACCTTTATGTACATCATTTTAATCAGTCAAATAAGTAAAGCAGATCGAATGAAAGTAACACTAATATCTGCTTTTATACTTTTTGCATTCTGTACGAGAGAGAAAAGGAAAACGCTGAAGCTCATATGTGAAAGAACTCTTGACAATTAGATTCAACAATTTTACACATTTATCTTATCATCGTATCAGCCAGTGAAAAAGCACCAACAACTGTGAAAACAGGGCAATTTATGTAACGAAAGAGTCAAAAGCAGAAGAAACACTTCATAGAAAATATATCCACGGGTGAAAGCTGCGCTCCCTCGCTGGGTTCACATCCTCCTCTTCTGGGTGCTTATGTACAACACTGAAAAGAGAAGTAACAAGGAAATAAGAGCGCTTAAGTATTAGCGCCCCAAATTTGAAAAGCAAACAATGTTGGCCTGATCCCTGCAAATTTAAAGGGAATTTCCTTATAAAACCATAAATTCTAGCGCTACTTTAGAATGAGTTTTTTGAATCTACATCTGGGTTCCAAGTGTTAACTGGGACAGTGCTCTTGTCTTAACTATTCACTGGATTGAGTGAGCCAGGACCGTAGAGACCTAGCATCTAAGGAGGCGTCATCATTCTGTGGCTGCCAGTCGCTGTCCCGCTGCTGCTCCAAGTCCCGGTAACCCACGCACAACCCACCCAAACAAGACCCGGGCTGGCGCCAGCCCAGTGACTGCTGGTCTGCTCACGTCTGCTACTGCAGCCACTTGGATGAAGCCTTCCACCAAGAGGGCTCATCTTCCGATATCCTGCTGTTACTCACTGGCTAAGTCTCACGAGGCGGCCAGGCCTTTCCTCCTAGGATCTCAGTCTAGTGGGGTCACCCACGGTGGGTGACCCTACAGGTATGTGAAATGCCAGGGGCATAGCTTCCAGCACCATAGCAACATATAAAGCCATCAAAGGATGACAAACAACTAACAAATGGGTGGTGGGCTTCATTATAACTAGTAGTATAGGAAAGCTTCCAAAAGAAGTTCATATGACATTGGAATTAAAAGATTATCATAGAGTTTTCCACAAGCTTTTGGATGCCCTCTCATTTAATAATCACCCTTTTCAGAAAGTAACCAGCATATTTCTATCAGGCAAAGAATCTCTTCTGGTTAGGAATATATTATATATTTTTCATCCACCTTCCAGTATAAATTCTCAATTTGCTCTTTACCCTTTTTAATTGCACCAGGATACATAAGAGCTGAGGTTTTATTCTGTTTATTAAACTACCAAATTTCTTCACTGAAGTTCCCTATCAGAGTCTCTCTAAACAAAAAACTCACTGCCATTGGGTCAATTCTGACTCATAGCGACCCGAGAGGGCAGGATCCAACTGGCCCCTGGGTTCATAAAGAGGCTAGCCCTTACCAGCACCTGGGAGTTGAGATGCCGACCTCTGGTTAGCAGCCCAGCATGTCACCACTACACACCAGGGCCCTTGGGCAGCCCGACCCACTCAAACAGAACCCGCCAAGGCTGTACTTCAACAAAAGATGAAGTCACTCTGCCCCCTGCACCCTCCTTACCTACTCAGATCCTCAGCAATCTGTTGAAAATGACTATTAAGGGATGCCTTGGTCAAGGGGCTCCAGGTCGTTAATTAATTGAGTCAGAAATAGGGAATCTAATGATCGTGAAAGGGTGCTGGAAAGGACACTCCTCTGAGAGGGTTGGTAATGCTACATGCCGTGTGCAAGGGACAGGATGCTCCCGGCAGCCCACCAGAGCACATTAGTGACTCAACAGTAAAGGCTGGAAGGGCGACAAGTTCTAGTTCCACAGTAAGTCTAATGATGCAGACCCTGGAATCTAAGAATGCTGCCTCCCTGAGGTCGGTGTTAGCTACTGTCACGCCCAAGATCTGACAAATCAGCACTAAAAACAAAACAAAACGCCACCCTCCCCAAAACAAAACACAAACTGAAATTTCAAGTTATCTAGAAAATTCCTGACTATAACTAGCATGGCTATTTTGGATGTGGCACAACTGCAGCATAAAGGGCTGTTACCATTGTTTCCGCGGATAAATGCATCCCCATACTTGTTCTTCAGTTGTCCATTTACATATTCCTCTGTCTGCTCCAGGGCTATGTTCATGTAGCCATCCAAGCAAGCCAGGACCCCTGGAGCCACATTCAGTCAAAAAGAAGACAGACAAAGCAAAGAGTTGAAAGTTATGGGGTCCACCTCCACACTGACAATTGCTTTCTTATTAGCTCTCACAGGCTTAATACACAAAATCACACTTTAAACGAAACTCCACAGCTAATGCCCAGGGACACTTCTCTCCTCTCTGCCCCCAGAAGGAAGGTTAAGGTATTGCATGTACAACAGGAAGCAGCCACGTGCACCATCTACCTCAGGAAAAACACAAAAGTGAGTCTCCATCACTGCCCTCGGCCCCCATAGGATAATGGCAACGACTTTCTAAGCCTTTGCAAAGTAAAACAATACAAATATCTCAGCAAAGACATCCTTCTTTGAAAGCTAGAAACAGGCAGGGGCTATTATACAGGAACGAATGACCATTATCCAAGACTCCTTGGTCCCAGTGGCTTTTACTTTTAGCCACTAAATGCAACCTGGGCCTCAGGCCTGGCAGATTGATTTCATCCTCTCACAACATCCACGCAGCAGATGAATGCACTGCGGGGTTAAGAGGGCGTCTCCACAATCTGTTAAAGCCATAGTGGAGGAGGCAGCAGGTGCACCTGGAGGAACATCTCGGAGCCGTGACTCGTGGTGAAGAGCAGCTTGAGAAAGCGGGGCAGCATATTGCACTGTAACACGGGAACAGAATCCACTCTGGGCTGTTTTACGTATAATGTTTTCAAATCAAAACTAATATAGAAAGGTGGCTAAAAACATTCTAGAGAGCTTTCAAGGAAATTGTGCAAGCACATCTTTTTAATTATGCTAAGACAATCTCTTACCAGTTTTGCAAAATTTCAACCTGCTGACTTCTTTTCCAAGATTAAAAAAAAAAAGTTATTTTCTCAACAAAAGGAAAACCAACAACAACCAAAAAACTCTCCAACTCATTGCTATTCAGTCGATTCTGACTCACGGCCACCCTACAGGACAAAACAGAACTGTTTCTATGGGCTCCCGAGACTAATTCTTTACGGGAGTAGAAAGCCTCAGCTGGAGGTTTTGAACTGCTAACCCCTTGAAGTCAGCAGTCCAACAAATAGCCCACAACATCACTGGGGGCCAAAGTGAAGTAAACATATAGTACAGATTTGATTCCATTAAGCAAGTCAATAGTTTCATTTAAAATCTCAGCTTCATTAATACGCTTCTCACTCTCAGCCCTGGTATTCTGTGAACAAGATTTTCAAGGGTGGTGGTGGTG